ATATATATAAGCTTTACTGGTTTTGTTTCTCTAGAGAACCCAGTCTAACACATTTTCCCATTCCATTTTTGTGTAATCAAATAACAATTCATAAGATATTGGGGAATATGAGCATTTAAAAGGATACAGAATAGGTAATATTGCATTTCATTTTTAAAAAACTTATCACAGAACTGGAAGTATGATTTTTAAGATCAGAGGTCATTTTTGGAATGGCAGTTAGGCCAGGAGGAAATCAAGACCATAAAATGGCAATAATGTTCATATGACAGATGATGTGAGTTGATGTGAGCCACAGAAAGAGAGGCCAAAGACAAGTAGTTTGGATTAAATAAATTAAGAGAATCAAGCCTGGGAATGAGTTTCCTAAAAACAAACTTATTTCTCTGATCAAGGGAAAATAGTTAAGCCTTAAGTGAACAACATTAATAAGTAAATTGATCTTGATGTGGAAGATGTCACAGGAAATTAAATAGACACTAAGAACTAAAGTTGTTTTTGAAACAAATGAATAAGAAAATTATGATGCAAAACTTAGGGATTGTGAATTTTTATTATAAATTCAACATTTAGTCATCAAAATTTGATAGCTAGTTAAGGGACAAGTTAAAATTTTCACCCAGATCTTTTAAAAAAGATCTATATTAGTTCATACTTTTAAATTGTTTTATAAAAATAATGTACAAGAGTTACATTTTAATTCTGTGTGTATAATGTGTATATATCACTTACTTAAATACATATAAAATATTATCAAGTTTTCCCCTAGTTTTAGTAATTCATTCAAAAATAACTTATTTCTTTCTTGCTGCTGTTCTATAAATGAAACATGCAACCTCAAATCATTTTTGGAAAGAGATACATTATAAAAAACTTCAGGAAATTTTCTTATTAAAAAATAAATGATGTTTTCCAGCCAGCCCAAATTTGTCAAAATATTAACATCAAGGCTATATTAAATTAAATCTCTAACTATAGTTCTGGAGTTTTTCAAAATATTTATTTGAAACATGTGACTTATAGGAGTTGATAAACTAAGACGTCCATTGTAAATAACCACATACTTCCCATAATTTTATGTCTTCTTAGTTATCAATATTAAGTAAATTTTACTTAACCAGAAGTATACCCAAAAATGCCACTCACTAAATTAAGAGAAAGATTGAAATTATAGAATAAATTCAATAGAACTTTTAAAAACTAAATTTTATTTAGATTTCATTTGAGTCAAGTAATTTTTCAAGTCTATATAAACTCAGCTGTCTCAAGTTCAAATTTTTAAATATTATTTGGAAAACCATTTTTTTAATGATTGAGAAGCATTTCAACACAGTGATGAAATGTACAATTTTAAAATGTTACATAAAACAGTAAAATACATGTATATGACAACACGGAAAATTCTTTATTTAAAAACATGAAGTTACTAAAATGGGTAAAAATGACAGTTAAATAAAATTTTTCCAAAACTCATCACTTTAAAGAAAACATACAATGACATAGATTATAATATATACAAAATAGGAAATAAATCATCATCTGTCATTAATGGGAAGATTTGCATGTTTCAAAATACTCATAATTCTAACTTAATAAAACATTGCATAGGGGGAGTGCTTCTTTATATTGAAAGTCTCTTCAGAGGCGTTGTAAATTCCGCTTACTCTGAGCACTTCCTGGAAGAGTACCTTTTCTATTCCTTGGCTTTGTTACTCCTCTACAACATTCTTCAGACCCATGATAAGCACACAAACATACCACACAAAAGTCAAAACCACAGGCTGTGCGGCTACACAGTCCCCTTTTCTTATATGGCTGATACTTAGCAGGGGATTGACACCTTGGACAAGGTTTTAATGCTTCATCAATAAAAAGTGTTTTGGCAACCTGCAGTAAAAGCATATGCACTAAATCTTCCAGTTTCACGCAGAGAATCACTTTATTTCATATTCTGTAAATACTTATTTCTAATAACGTATGATAAATACTCACCTTAACATATTCTTCCTGCTTACTACTTAGGGGAGTAACAGAAGAGCTCGCTGTAGGTGTCAAAACTTCTCCCCAAGGAGATAATGTTGGAACTTGTTCTTTCTGAGAACCTGGTGTCCTGGCCTGTGCTTGCACAGACCTTAGAGCTGATCGATTTAAAAGGTGGAGCCGAGTTGCAGCATCCTCAACATTTAATATAGTCCCCTGTGGTAAAAGATGAGAGGGGTCAATACTATCATTTCAAAAAAAAGTCCCAGGATAGCTTTCTGATGCATATGCACTTGAATGTTTAGAAGTAGTTTCAACTAACTACAGTTTCCTCCCTAACCATTACTTTTTAGGGGGGAAAAATTGTTTTCTCACCTAACACTTCAAAGTCAAAGAAGTATAAGAAAAGATATAAATAAATGCTAGCTTTAAATTTGCATGATTAGTCATTTTTCCATTTAATTTCACCATAGATTGGCCAGCTTTTTCAAAAAGGGCCACAGAGTAAATATTTTAGGCTCTGTGGGCTATATAGTCACAGCTACTAAACCCAGTTGTCATACCTAAAGCAGCCACACACAACACACAAATCAAAGAGCAGGACTGTGTTCCAATAAAACTTTATTTTAAAACACAGGCAATGTATTGGATTTGCCCCACAAATTTTTCAGCCAACTCCTATTTTAAGTTAAGACTGAAAAGAGGTAAATCTTTTTAAAGGTTGCTATGGGATATCACAGAATTCTCTGAAGGTTTCTTACCTTAGATACTGGAAAAACAATGGGCCTGGCTTGACTATAAACCCCAATTTCTTTGGCTGGTTTTTGCAAATACCTGGTACTGATTCATTTTTACAGTTAAGTTTTAAATAACTTTGATATCTTAAAAGAAGGAAAAAAAATCTCTCTCACTGGTACTAGATTACCACATTACTCAAATACTCAGTCAAGAAATATTTTCCACAAGCAATCCTTGTAAAAATTCTATGTTGTTAAGGACTATAACGGGGGGAAAAATTTACAAAAAAATTTTAAAAAACAAATTGGCATTCTTAATCATCAAAACAAAATGTACTAAAGGTGAATTTCCTCAAGTGTCCCACTATAATTGTGTTTCCTCCCCTTTGACAGTTTCCCTTCACCATAACTGACTCCTAACTGTGGGATAGCTAAAACATGAGAAATTAAAGTAGAATAAGGATAGAAAATGAGGTTAGCTGGTCCTGAAGAAATATTTGATTAACAGTTTTAAAATGTATGTGTTAGTGTAATGGATGGAGATTGGTTTGCAAAGGTCAGAAGACATGACTATGTTGAACTTATTCAAGCAAGGACTCAAAACATCTCTCTAAAATCACATTTGTATGAAATGAGCTCAGCCGAGGCCATAGGTACATGACATACAGCACACGGAAAATGGCCACTGGATTTCAAGGCAGTTGATAAATGCAGTGACTGTGCATGCACCAAAAAAATGAATAAAGATGCGTTGTTGAAGCAAATTTTAGCCACAGAAGAAACCTTCTTTCATTTAACAAGTATTTATAGAACATCTAATATTGTCAGGTAAATGAAACAGTCTAATCCCTGTCCCCATATTGCTTAAGAGCATGTGCTGGTATTTCTGACAGTAAGAGCCAAAGCAGTTGACAAAAGTACATGGTCACCAGGGCCAACATTTTTCAAAACAGTCATCATCATAGAACCAGAAAACACTGAAACGTGAGAGCAGAGTCAGTTTATACACGTGTTCATTTCCATGAGTGTAAGAAAACTGAAGACTAGAGTAAATGACAAAATCCAATGGATAAGGTATAGTATTCTAATTCTAATACCACATTCTACTGTTCCAAAGCAAACAGATAAAAACGAAATCCTGATTTGTGTCTTCTAATTTTCACACATAAGGCACTTGCAGTGATACTATACAAGGATGAGGAAAACCATCAAACAACTGTGTTTTGTAATTTTTCTGTCTTGATTAATGATACATAAAAATAGTGCAGTCTAAATCAATGAGTGCATTTCAGAATAGGAGGGCAGGAAGGATGTCTTTGAGGAAAAGGAGAAACTGATAGATACTTGATTTGTTCAGACTTACACAGAGGAGATTTTCAGTTCTAGTGGATAATGGGGGATGAACCAAAGGACCTGTATAAAGAAACACTAAACAAAACAAAACAAACAAACAAACAAGAAAGAAAACTGGGCAATTATGAACTCTGGGGAGAAAAAAGAAAAGTTATACAAGACAGAAAGTTCAATCCTAATGTACTACATGTTACAGCTGTGGAAAACAGTCATCACGATCTCAACACAATCTTAATATCAGCATCTAATTCTGATTTAGCACAAAATGGTATAAAAGGACATTCTTAAGACAAGAGAAAGGCAAAAGGGAATTCAGAAAGGAGGGAGGGAGGTAGTGGTGGTGGCAATGCCAGGTTAGAGAACTCATCTAACCTTTCTGTAGAGAAAACATCTAGAAATAGCAGTATAAACTTGTTATTTAGAAATATAGAGGTAAATACCAGAAGAAATGACTAGAGTTGACAGTGATTGTCTTAATGGAGTAAGAATCAAGAGCATAAAGTGTTGGGGAAGGAGAGTGATGGGTTTCATTATAAGGCTCTCAGTGCAATTTGACTTTTTAAACCATGTACTTGTATTATTCTGAAAATAATTAAAACAAAAACCAAACAATTTTTTTTAAAGTTCAAGTAAGGAAAAAAGTATAGTTCTTTAAGAAACCAAATTTTTAACAAGTGGTGACCAGGATGTGAGAATACTGTATTTTATTTAGAGTAATCAGAGAGGTTGCCAACACAACGAAATGTCCCTTCTTTGTAAGAGGTCGGGATTATATGGAGAAGAGTTTAAAATAGCTGCTTACTTAAAAGAAAATAATTTTGTAATCTGGGCCCTAGCATGTAGGACAGCACTCTGAAAAGACATGTTCAGAATGTCAGTGAGCAACCCCACTCTCACAAGCCCCCAAAGCCAGCAGCTGCAGTAGTAAGCAGACAGGTGCTGCGAATGGTCCTAAGGTAATGCAAGAGGTGAGAAGGCAAAATTTTCCTTCAAAGTAGAGAGGAAAACCAAAGGTTTAGTAAACAATGGTCCCTAATAGTTCACTGCAATGAGAAACCCACCAATCAATACCTAAGTATTCATATTTCTTTATGCCATGCTCCATTTTAATTACTATATTTAGTCAAAGTAGAAATTTATTTATAGTATGTTATTAAATACATTTTTACTAAAACAAGAAAAAGCATAAACTGTCAGAGTTTCTTTTGGCACTGATGTCAAAGAAAAGTCTAAATGTTGAATCTACAATCAAATGCAGACACCATAGCTTGTCAGATGCCTGCTACACAAACCTGTATCCTTTGGAAGAATTATCATAGTCAGCTTCTACAGGACTTTTCTTGTAACTTCAAAGCTGGACCTAATTCTCTTCGATGGAGTACAAGTTCATGATAATTCACAAGTATAATCTGCCATGTTCATGCTCACCTCCTGCATCATATGTGCTACTCCCTTTTCTTAAACACTCTGCCCTCTTCACCTGGCTGATGACTAAGGCATCATTCAGGTGTCAGCTTAGATGGCACTTTTTCTCAGAAGCCACCTCTTGATTCCCAAGGATCACTGAAACACTCCTTTTAAACGTCCCTAAAGAACCCTGGGCACACCTGCATCTCAATTACCTGATTATTCGTAACCACCCACAATTTTATGAGCGACAAGAGAGAAGGGACCACGTCAGAAATGTTTGTCATTGTAATCTCAGCAACTGGCAGTTACTGGAACATAGTATCCACTCAAAAGTCTGGGAAACAATGCTGTAAGGATATATAATTATGAATAGGATCCAGTTTATCACTGGGATTCAAGCTGCTAAAAACCCCAAAAAAAATTCACTGCCATCAAATCAATTCCAACTCATAGCAACCCCCTTTAGGTTTCCGAGGTGGTAAATCTTTATGGAACAGATTGCCCATATATATATTTGAATAGAAAAAAAAAAAAAAAAAAAGATACTCTTAGTACTAGGTAGTCTATTCCACTAATGGACTGGATGGAAATGGAATTTAGGAAAAGTAAACAGTTTATGAGTTAATGCTTGCTAATTGGAAAAGGTTAAAAAGATAGCAGGAAAACCAAGGTAGGTTGTTCAGCAATGTTGTTGTTGTTGTTATGTGCCGTCGAGTTGGCCCCGACTCATAGCGACCCCTCCTTGGGTTTCCGAGGCAGTATCACTATGGAAGTAGGATTGCCCAACCTTCCTTCCGAGGAGTGGCTGGTGGGTTTGAACCGCCAGCCTTCTGGTTAGCAGTCAAATACTTTAGCCACTATGCTACCAGAGCTCCTTTTGTTCAGCAATATTGGATTATTAAGTGTTTATACAAAACTATTTTAGAAAAGCATTATACACATTACCTCAGAATCTGTTTTCAGTTGTGAGATATAAAATTTTCTCCTCCAATTTGCTTTTTTGTCTTGAGTAACAATTTCACGCCAATTTCTGCTTACTCTCCAAACACTAGAATAAAAAGATAATTCCTTATATTGTATATATTCTACAAGATTAATATGTTTTGTAATATGCTAATAAGAAAAATTTGTTTTAAAGATTTGAGATAGTACATTTAAACCTAAATTGATGTTTAAAATATGGCTTGTCCAATATTATTTTATATTTTGATTCACCATATGAAAAAATTCCTATTAACATTAAAAATATACAAACATTGTACTGATAGGTTACTGCTGAAGAGAATTTGACTTCAAATGTGGCACTAAGTTCTAAAATTTGGAACATGATATGCTGTAAAATGATTATCATTTGTAGTATAAGAAGTTTTATCAATTTTTCCTATTATTGAATATTAAAAATCTGTCATTTTGATTCTATAAATTTAAGAACAATTAATCCTTCATTGGAAGTATTACGTGTCACTTAATAAGTATTATTATGGGTTGTTTGTTGTTGTTATGTGCTGTTGAATCGGATCCGATTCATAGCGACCCCTCCTTGGGTTTCCTAGGTGATATTACTACAGAAGTAGATTGCCCAACCTTCCTTCTGAGGAGTGGATGGGGGGGCTGAACCACCAGCCTTCTGGTTAGCAGTCAAGTGCCTTAGGCACTATGCTACCAAAGCGTATTATGGGTAGCACCATAAAATCTCTATTTTGTTGGCCAGTTCATGAGAATGAAGCCACTAAACAAAAGACACAATTTATGTACATTGATTACTTATTTACAGGTAACACTGAGTATATTAATTATTTTAAAAAAGTGATACTTCAACTATACCATCTATTATAGTGTTTTTTATTACTCTAACTTAATAAATCACTCAAAGGGAATAATAAGATCAGGAGATGATTTCGGGGAAAAGTCTCTTTTTGTGGAGGGCCCCAGGTAATGACTGAGTCGTTATCACTACTGTTTTTCCTGTACTATAACCACTTCATCAGTTGCAATTGCCTATTTCTAGTCAATAAATGCACCTATGATCAAAAAGGAGGAGAGATAGGCAGAATGTTACCCATTGTTGGGGAAGAAATGAACTATGTAATTGGGTATTTGGCATAGCTAATTTCAATGCTCATTTCTCACCTTACCAAGAATAAGCACTGTGGACATTATACATACATTGTGCAGTACAAATACTATACATTCGGAGAGATGAGCTGCAAAGATAATTATTGAAATATGACTCAATATCAACTGCTCACATAGCGAGCACACGAAAGTGTCACCCAAGTTTTTATTTGTCCCTGGTTTGTATCTAAATATTCCAGCATGCTTCAGCCATTTCCCTAATTTTTTAAACAAAGAATTTACCTCATGTGAACATTTTTAGAAAGCACACAGAGATAGGTGCACTAATCTGACATTATCTTGCTTGGGGTACACCAAACACATTTCCAATCAAGTCTACTCTGAAAGGCCTTAGACCTTTTAAGAGTTAGAGGGAAATATTGGCTTAAAAATCAGAGAGCTCAGTTGTAAGCCTGGATCCATTCCATCTCCTCAAGGGCCTCTTGGTAGGTCACTTCACTTCTCTTGGGCTCAGTTTCTTCATCTGCAAAATATGCAATTGGACTAGATACCTCATAAGACTTTTAGCTATGAAATTCTACAGTTCTCTTCAATACTCTGCAATTAATTTAAGGAGGCGAAGATGTTTTTTAACAACAGAAATAATGACTATAAATATAACAAGGACTCTATAAACCAAACTTTTAACTTATGCCTATCAGGAAAGAAGTTCATTCACCTTCCTGTCCTCTTCATTCATTTCCATGTTCTCTCCTAACCATCACCTTGCAGAAATCCTGTTCCCTATCGTTTTCCTCCTCCTTCCCTGTCACTGCATTCCTAAGGGTTTTATTCTGATAGTCCTGCAACTCCTCAAAGTCACCAGTATGAACAGAGTCTCACTTTAGTCTTTGCAACCCTAGTTCCCACCTTCAATATGCTTCAATGTCTGACTCAGTTTCTCTTTAATTTCATATCAGCATGCAATATATTGAAATTTCTTAGAACAGCAAATTTTCTAGTTCATTTCTTAAAATTCCCAAAATTAATTCATTTCAAATTTAATTAATTTCATTGTTGTGGTAACAATGAAATAATTCATATTCTCTTGATCTCTCAAAAGACCAAACCCTAAAATGAAAATTAATCTTTGTTCTTAAATTCTAGAATTTAGATCAAAGAATACAACGGTATCTTCTGTAGGCTGCCATATCTCAGTCACTATAATGGAGCTCTGGTAGCATAGTGCCTAAGGCACTTGACTGCTCACCAGAAGGCTGACGGTTCAAACCCACCAGCCACTCCTCGGAAGGAAGGTTGGGCAAGCCTACTTCCGTAGTGATACTGCCTCGGAAACCCAAGGAGGGGGCGCTATGAGTCAGGGCCGACTCGACGGCAAACAACAACAATAACAACAATAATGCTTTACAGGAGCTCTGGTAGCCTAAGGCACTTGACTGCTAACCAGAAGGCTGGCAGTTCAAACCTACCAGCCACTCCTGGGAAGGAAGACGGGGCAATCTACTTCCATAGTGATACTGCCTCAGCAACCCAAGGAGGGGTCACTAGGAGACGGGGCCGATTTGATGGCACACAACAACAACAACAACATAATGCTTTACGGGTGCTCTGATGCCATAGTGCCTAAAGCATTCAACTGCTAACTAGAAGGCTGGCAGTTCAAACTCACCAGCCATTCATTGGAAGGAAGATTGGGCAATCTATTTACATAGTGATACTGCCTCGGAAACCCAAGGAGGGGTCACTGAGTCGGATCCAACTTGACAGCAGTGAGTTTGGTTTTTGTTTTTTTTCGATAATGCTTTACATTACTTATTACTACGTGTCATAACTTTAATATGATTTGCAATCTGACAACAGAATGTGGAAGATTAAATAAGTCATGAAGCAACTTCCATGGAATAAGGCTTGCCATAACGAGAACATAAAGTTCAATTTTTAAGAACTCTTTCCAAATCATTGTAATAACGATCATAATTGTAATTATCCAGGAAAATACAATATTGTTGCTTCCAAAGCAGTCTTTAAAATAGAAGGAACTATACCAGTAAGCTCTAGTTCACCTAACCTGACACTGAAAACGTATAGGACAACCAAGGATGGAAAAAATAAAACAAAACAAAAAATTGAAAAAAAAAATTTCCAACTTAAAAAAATAAAAGGAAGTTTTCCTGCATTAACACTTTTTATCTCTTACCTGCATAGGCTTTCTGCAGTCAAAGAATCTAAAACCACAGCAAGAATATGCTTTAAGTTTCTGTATTTTAACTCTGTTAAGATGTCCAGTTTTTCTATGCCCATTTTTTTGCCAATCAGTCCTGCAAGCACACACTGCAATACAGCTATTTTTCCCCTGTCCCTTCCTTCTAGGAAGTCGTGTGCACCATTTTGCTGGAATCTTTTCCTTTTGCTATTCATGAAAAGCTCTTGTACTAATTGCAGAGCTGGGGTATTTGATAAGTTCTTAAAGCTTAAACTCGAGTCCTCTCTCTCATTATCACACCTCAGCTGGCTCCCTGAGGGGTCTGAAGAAGCTGCTGCTGTGGTTTCTGAGTCAGAGTGCGGGATCTGCCTCTCTTCTTCTGTCTCCGATTGTGAGCCTTGCTCCCGAAGGGTGGACAGTCTTCTCAACCTTCCAAGATGCCTTGACTTTCTTATGGTGTCCCCCACTTTGACAGTTCCTTTATGTTTCTGAAGTAGTTCTTGAAAAGAACCCTCCTGGTCAGAGAGGGAATCTTCTGATTTATCTAAGCTAAGTGAATTAAAACCACTGTCTTCAGGTGTTGAAGCACTGCCTCTCACAATTGAAGGAGAAAGTGCTTTACTTGCGTTGAATTTAATGTCTGCGGCAAGATTACTTACTGGAGTCACAAATATGTCTTCATCTGTTCCACAAGTTGCTCCACTAACAGAGGAGCCCAGAAGTTCAGAGTATGTATTCTCATCATTAACACTTAAACTGCTATCACTAAAATCATGTGTGATAGAGTCTTTAAAACTATTACCCTGAATTGGAGATATACATTCAACTTCAAATAGGCAACAGTCACCTTTGGAATCATCTACTGTGGAAGTCTTCTGTTGTGAAAAATTAAGTCTCAATTTTTGACTGCTGGAAGTAGCTTCCTCTGTTTTTAAAGTGCTGGTAACTAAAGGACTAAAATTATCTTGCCTTGGAAACCCTGAAGCACTGCTTGGAACATTTTTTTCTACGTTGAGGACTTGGCTTACACAGCTTTCCAGGGAACTGTTATGTGATTCAGAGTCCCCCTGTAGAAGAGCAAAAGATAGATTCAACCTTCTGCGCGGTAAAATTTTTTTTCCACTGACCTTAGGAGTTTCGCAAAGTTCTGGAGTTTTCTCCTTTTCCTTCCAAGGGAAGACAAATTTCTTTTTTTGAGTGGGAGACTTTAAGGAGTATGTTAAGGCCAGACCGGAAGTTCCAGGTTGTTCATGGATGAATGCTGGGCCTTGTTCTTTCTTCCCGAAAAATTCTTTATCTGCATTATCAAATCTGCATGATTTTAATAACTCACTATAGCCACTGTCTTGAAGTGAAGATGTAGGACAAAAACCTCTGATGCCACAGTACTTTGAATTGACAGTGGGCGAGTCCACCTCATTTCCTGCTCCAGTGTTAGCTTGTACCGAATGCCTTTCCATCTTCAAAATCTGTTTCTACAAAGTGAAAACAAGTTTTACTCTTCCTTTGGAAGGAATAACCAGGCATGTTACACCAAAACAAATTATTTGCCATAAGCATACAGATAACAGAAAATTATACAGCAGAAAAGAAAAAGATACTTTAAAAAGCAAAACTACTCGATAAGGCATACTGCTACCCAGAAGGCTGGGGGTTCAAACCCACCAGCCACTCCTCAGAAGGAAGGTTGGACAATCTACTTCTGTAGTGCTACTGCCTTGGAAACCCAAGGAGGGGTCACTATGAGTCAGATCTGACTTGACGGCAGTGAGTTTGGTTTGGTTTATACAATTTAAAACACTTCACAAAATCAAAATTTTCAGGTTATAAATATTCACAGGTTACTTGTCTATCCATTGTCTAAGCATTATACTCAATATTTTCTTGAATTATATTTGAAGAGGAAAAACCTGGCAACATCACTTTTAGATGGAAAAAAATGTTGATTTTTATTACCGTGTGAATTTTAACAACATTAAAGTATGTATTTTTAGTTTTATATTCTAGTTTATTTGTGCTGTCTAAATTAGTCAGTTGGTGTTTTCTTTCAGGGTTTTGAGATGTAAATAAAGCTACTTTAAAAAGAAAAAAGAAAGCTGAATGGCACAACCACTATGGAAAATGGTATGGTACTTCCTTAAAATGCTAGAAATGGAGATACCTTATGATCCACTAAGCCTACTGCTAGGTATATACCCTAGAGACCTAATAGCAGTGGCATGCATAGACATAGCCACACCCATATTCATTGCAGCATCATTCACATAGCAAAAAGACGGAAACAGCCTTAAGCACTCATCAGCAGATGAATGGATAAACAAACTGTACATACATGCAATGGAATACTATGCAACAATAAAGAATAATGATAAGTTATCAAAACATAGCATGGATGAATCTGGTGGACATTTTGTGGAGTGAAATAAATCAATCACAAAAGGACAAATATTGTATGATCTCACTTTTATGAAAACACAAGAATAAGTACACATAAAGAAAGCAATGTTCTTTGGTGGTTGCCAGGGTACTATTTACTTTCTAAATAGCAGTAATTTGTTACTTTTTGGTGATGTGGAGGATAAAAAAAAGGCAATAGCAAAGGCAGGTGAAGTCTGCCCAACTTGACCAAGGTAAACGATGATACTAAGAAGTACACAAGAATAAGGATGTTTTTGGTAAATGCTATAACATACACAATTTTGCAACAATAGCAAAAACTACATGTGTGGTTATATAGGTAGATATGTATGCATATGTCTGTACAGGAAGGCATATGTAAGTATATGTATGTGCATGTATAGGTGTATCTGTAGGCATATGTATACATTTTTACACAAATAATGTACACATTATATGTTTTTCCCAATCTACCAATCCTCCTGTGTTAGTTCCCTATGCACGCTATGTGCATTATATGTGTGTGCATATTATTTACAAAGGTACATTATATGGAAAAATACAGTATGCATGCTTGTGTGTGCTGCACATATATTCATATATGTAATAAAGCACATAGAGGTAGTTACAAATACTTCCTCGACATAACCAAACATCTCATGGGATTGGTTTACTGTGTTTGAAAGTTTAGGACTGTAGTCTTGTAGGACAACTCAGTGACTTGGCATAACATAGGTAATGACATTCAAACATCCTAGTTTGGTTAGTAGCATCTGGTGGCATAATCAATGAGTCTAATTGACTTCACAGCAGTGAACCAAACACACTGCCATAGAGTTGGACCCAACTCATAGCAACCTCTCCTTGGGTTTCTGAAGCAGTATTACTATGGAAGTAGATTGCCCAACCTTCCTTCCGAGGAGTGGCTGGTGGGTTTGAACCACCAGCCTTCTGATTAGCAGTCAAATGCGGAGGATCCTAAAAGCTACAAGCGGCCATCTAAGATACAACTATTGGTCTCTACTCCTCAGAGCAAAAGAGAAAGAAAGAAACCAAAGACTCAAAGAAGAAACTATGCTGCAGGAATAACAGTCCACACAAATCATATCCTCATCTATCCTGAGACCAGAAGAACTAGATGGTGCCCAGCTACCACTACAGATCCTTCTGATCAGGAGCACAATTGATGGTCCCAGATGGAATAAGAGGAAAAATGTATGGCAAAACTCAAATCCTTTAAAAAGGTCAGATTTAGTGGACCAGTAGAGACTAGCAGAAGCCCCAAGATTGTCACCCTCAGGTATCCTTTAAACTTGCAACCAAAACCACTCCTATAGTTCACCTTTCAGTTAAACAACAGATTTGCTCATAAAATAAACACTACACTGAGCTCTTAAAAAAAAAAAAAAAAAAAAAAACACTTATGTGACACCAAACAGTCAATATTTACCTTAAAGCAAAGATTATAAGGGGGTGGGCAGGAAAGTTAGATTAATGGAAATAGAACAGCCAGGATGGTAAAAATGAAGATGTTGACACATTGTGAAAAAAGTAACCAATAGTATGTATAGAAATTGCTAAATGGGAGCCTAATTTGATGTATAAATGTTCACCAAAAACATATTATTTTTTTAAAAGCTATATGCTATTTTTAAACACATGTTGAATAAAAAGTCCTGCCATTCTAACTGGAATTAGGCTGAGCAATTCCAAGCTAATGCTGCTCATACTTGTAGCATAGGCCTGTTTCAGAAATTCAGTCTTTGTGACTATTGATAAGGTCTGAATTCCCAAATTTACACCTTTACCAATACTCTTTGACTCACTGATAAATTACTAATAGATTGTCCTTGAGTCATCCAAAATGAACCACTGCACCACTGATACAGGGTCATTTCAAACTAGGAATGTGTTAACCATTCATGTCTCATTAATTGAGACATAAGGTCCAGTAATAGCCTTAATTCACAGATAATAGGCAAATTATTTGTGGGAAACCCTCCCTTTATGATATCCTTGAAATTGAAAATAAAGAATTTAAATTAATTACTTAAAGAAGAAATATTACTCAGTAATTATATGTGAGTAAGGAATGACACTAAGAAATACTTTATTCTTTCCTTTCCATGATTCAAATTAAATCTCAAAACAAAGGAAGCTAAGACAAGAAAGTGTTATAGTTTCTGATATTTCTCCAGATTATTCAGAGTACACTAAGAAAATTGTCATTCTTTCAGTTTTCTCCAGGCCAAACACTTCATGATTTTTTTCTATTCAAAGATCCCGAGAAGATATACTTGATCGCTAGGAAAATAATTTATTTATCCCTAAGTTATATCCTAACAGCCACTCCTCAGAAGGAAGGTTGGGCAATCTACTTCTGTAGTAATTCTGCCTCGGAAACCCAAGGAGGGGTCACTATGAGTCAGATCTGACTCCACAACAGTGTGTTGCATTCGTTTCAAGTTGTATCAAATATATGAGTGGATATCGCCTTAAGGAAAAAAAAAAGCTATTCTAATTACAAAATACAATTGATTCTTTATGGCATAATCATTAGAAGATCATTTTTACTGGGTAATGCATCTAAGTCAGTGTTTTTAGATCTTTTAAACCTATACATTATGTTTTAAAATCTCACACATGCCCCCTCCTCCTGTTCTCTATCTGGATACTGAGAATCATTGCTATCTTATGCACATCCTTAAATGTCAAAATTATTCAACTTTGCTTTCTATAATTTTTGTTATGAAATTATAAATGAATATATAAAATTTTAAAACAAATTTTTATGCTTTCATAATATTACAGGATAGAATGCAGATTCAGATCACACCTCCACACATTGCCTTCTCCATTTATGAGAATCATTCTGTCAAGTTTTAATTTTCAGTAATAAAACTAGGTTAGAAAACCAAACCAAACCCATTGCCATCAAGTGGATTCTGATTCACAGTGACCCCCTATGGATTTTTGAGGCTGTAAATCTTTATGGAAGTGGATTGCCCACTTTGCCTTCCGCAGAGTGCTGTTGAGTGTGAACTGCCAACCTTCTGGTTACCAATCAAATGCCTTTGGCATTACACCACCAAGCCAAAAAAAACCTACTCACTGCCATGAAGTCAGATCCGACTCATAGCGACCCCTCCTTGGTTTCTGAGGCAGTATCACCACTGAAGTTGACTGTCCAACCTTCCTTCCGAAGAGTGGCTGGTGGGTTTGAACTGCCAGCCTTCTGATTAGTAGTCAAATGCCTTAAGCACTGTGCCACCAGAGCTCCCTAAATTAAGTAGAGTTCTTTAAAAAAAAATGTTATTGTGATTTGGGTGAAAGTTTACAGAGCAAATTCATTTTCCATACAGTAGTTCATACACATTTTGTCTCATGACATTGACTACAATTCCCCACAGTGTAACAGCTCTCTTCCCACTTCCACCCTGTAGTTAACTCTTCCCTGTGTCCTTCCCTCCCATGTACTCCCACCCTGAGCTGGCTCCCTGTGCAAACACTGCCCTTCTATTCTCCCATGGGTGAACGCTCCAAGTAGTGTATCTACGTGATGTAAATGTTCATGCCATATGCCTATTGTTTGGCTGGAAGCAAAAGTGAGTTCAGTTCCAGACCTGAGGGGTGCCTAGGGACCATAGTCTCAGGGGTCTCACCAGGCTCAGTCATCTACCTCGGACTTCTTGAAAGAATAGTCTATACTTGCTCTCTTTTCTTCCTCATTTCCCATTCACTACCGAACCCAGAACAGTCTGACTTTTACCCATACTCCACTTGGTGTTCTTTTTGTAGGCTCACTGTTGACTGTCTCATTGCCAAATCAAATATTTACTTGTCAAATACTATCTTTCATTAACTTTAAAACGTTTTTAAAGATTTAGCTATTCTGCCATTTGACCACTAGGTGTCTCGCCTTACTAGAATTTGGGAAACTAAAGAGGCAAATTGTTACCCACAAAGTTGCAAAGGTGTAGATATTCCCTACCTGAAAAATCATAAACTACCAGGGCCTCGGCTTGTTTATAAACACCACCAACAACAAAAACTTTCTAATTTCTTTCTGTTC